CATTAGTAGATCTTATTGAGTTGGACTGTGACACAAGCTTCATAAATATAGTCAAAATTTAAAACACCGCATCATACAGCCCATATTGATTTTTGCTAATATATCATTCTTTTAGCATTTATGTGATTTAATGATGTTGGGATTAAGAAATATTGGACATGTTGGATTTTTCTCACTAGATTTAATTATAAGCATATTAAATTTGATAATCATTTGGTTTTCTAATTAATGTCTTGAAAATTTTAAATATACACATAAGTGCTTGATTTGGGCTTATTTTAACTTAAATAGATCTACTTTTGCGTCGTAATGATTATCTCATCGAGACACTCAGTTCAACTTTTCGTCGGATGTACTTAAATTTGATTCCAAAAAAAATTTAATTTGAATATTATCAAGATTTATGTCAGATCAGTTGAATTTTTAGATGATATATCATTACTACAAATCAAATCTTATATACTCAAATAAAATATAATAAAACCCATAATGTTTTTCACATGAATAATATTCCATCAAATATTTATGATGGGAAAACCAATATATTTCATTTCAATCCATTTTGACTAATTCAGAGCCCAAATGTTTATGTAATTTGAAAATTTTGAAAATATCACCGTAATGAGACAATCATTTTGAATGTGTAAATTTATAAATTTAAAATATACTTGATCTTTTAAATAACTTTTTAAAAAAATGATCTACCGTTTTGAGTGCTTTGAGATTCTAATTCTTAATTAATGTTCACAATATACATAATTTATCATTAAATAAAATTATTTTCATACATTATCAAATTACAAATAAAATAATTTAAATTCATTATTTGAATTTAAAGTTAGCATGATAATTGATACGTCATCAAAAATTGTTTTGATCGGTCATGAATCTTGATACATATCTTAAATGGAAACTTTCAAAATTTAATTTACGAAACATCTGAACACCCATTTCAACAAATTCATAGTCAAACTGAATGAGAGAGGAACCCAACAACACAAAAATATATCCAATCTAAGCTCAAATGAGACAAATCAAAGGTTTAAAACAGAGTTGAAAGATCTAAAGTATTAATTAGATAATCAAATGATATACAAATATGGCATGCTTATAATCAAATTATGCATCTCGACAAGAAAAATCCAACGAGCCCAATATTGTTTAGTTTTGACATCATTAAGGTATTTAAATGCTTGATTAATGCTCCATGATCGAGAGAATGAATATGGGTTGTCTGATGGAGCACTCCGAATTTGTCTCGGATCTTTTTCATATTCACATATCAAGTCACTCTCAAAATCTATAAATAGACATCCTCTCTCTACATAAAGGAGGATGAGGCTTGGACCATGCACTAGAGACTCAAGAGAGCTTAGAGACATGAAGAATTATGAAGCTCCACCCTGGTACCACCATCGACGAACCCTCAAAGCCTCGCTACCACTGCTAGACCTCCTCTTGACAATCTTCATCAGACATTTGTCCGGCCACCATTGCGGGCTCTTCACCCTATCTCCATCACTCGTTGACTTCAGTCCCTCCAACCACTTTCGCCCCATTATGATCTTTCTGACTTCTGTTGCCTACCAACTATGATCCCTCTAATAATCGTCGCCTGACTACAATCCTTCCAACTATTGTTGCCCGTTGACTACAATTCCTCCAACCATCGTTGCCCAACTACTATCATTTTGACCTTATCAGCCCATTGACTATGATCCCTATGACCACTGTCACAAGGCTGTGATCCTTCTGACAACCATAGCCTGCTAACTACAGTCCCTCTGACCTCTATCGCCCAACTATGATCCATCAGACCTCCATTGCTTGTCGACTACGGTCTCTCACACCACCACACCCGAATACGAGCCCTTCGACTTCTGTCGCCCAAATACAATCCTGCTGATCAAATGAATAGGCCAACACTCTCTTGATGATATCTCTCTTATCATAGGATTCTCCCAACTTCAACTATGTAATGTATTCTATACAATGTATATTTGCTACATTGAGCCAATACATTGCCCCAAAAAAGGATATCATTTGTAATCAATAATAGTGGAATCATTTCAACCGGGCAAGTCCCCATTATTTCTCCCCTTTTCGAATTTTCCAATTGAAAGCAAATATATCTTATGATTATTGCATCCCCTCTTATTTGTCAATGTGCTAGATCATTGTACAAAGCTAAGACATTAAGCTCCTAATATCTCTACGACCACGAATGTTTTGCAAGCAACAACAATGTTTATTTAGAAGCTAAGACATTAAGCTCCTAATATCTCTACCGCCACGAATGTTTTGCAAGCAACAACAATGTTTATTTAGCAATAGTTTCATATGAATTAAAATAAATATATTAAAATTTAAGATGTATCATGTATTATATTTAAATTTAAAAATAGTGATAAATATATATAATTTACAATCACTCATAAGAGTGAAAATTAGTTGGGTTGAGTCGAGTTCTTCTTAATCGAACTCAATTTATATAGTTCCTGCGAGCTTGAGCTTATTCACTAAGCTCGAGCTCAATTCGTTAAAACTTTATAGGCTCGAGCTCGGCTCGACGAACTCATATGAAAAGCTTGATTTTAACTCTATTATTGAACTCGATATATTAGTTTTAAATTAAAATTTTTAATTTATAATATATAACTAATTTAAAAAAATTAAAATGCATCATATAACGATGATTCAAATTAATTTGTAAATATATTTTAAATTAATTAAGTGACTCAACAAACTTTCGAGTCGAACTAGGTTGAACTCAAGCTCGAACTTATTTAATAAACAAGCACTCAATGTTGAACTTGTGGTGCGATAAAGTTAACTGTGAGCTAAATAATGAGTCGAATTCGATCAAACTTGACTCAACTACAAATGCTATTGTGGAGTGTTTGTTCTTTAACAATTAATGGATTGGCGCATTGCTGCGCGTTGTAGTGCGCGAGGTACGAAGCAAGAAGAAGTGTCAGGCTGTCACACACTAAGAAAGGCTGGGGAGCAGAGGGTGGTTGGGCTGGCAGAGATTCTCCCGTGAAGTTTTGTCGCTTTGTCTGCCGAAATTTTTGGGCAGCTGCGCCCACGACGTAGCATGTGACGAGCACGCCAGCGGTGGAATCCGAGAACGCTAAAGATTCCAAACAAAAGCGTTTCGCTCAGTGATTGATTGATTTTTTTTTTTTGAAAAATTAGGGGCAAAGCACTTTGTATTTATAAAAAATTGCACAAAATGAAGATGAAAAATGAGAAGCTGCAGCTGGTGATCATTCATTCAATTGGATCTGAAGAGCACAAACAAGCCTAAAAATTGCAGATTCTCTTCATAATCATAACATTTCGGTCTGACTTGAATTGCTCATTGTGTCATTCTGACTATTAGAGCACTTCACATCTCTTTTTTTGAATGCAATTTTTCTTTCTCTATCACCTCCGATTTAATTCCAGGTTCTTGTGCCTTGCTTCTTAGGTCCAACATTGCTCAGCTATACCTTTGGATGGTCTTCGGACAACTGGGAACTCTTTTCCCAGACTCTTCAAGCTGAATGTTTATTTTTGACTGAGTCCTGGCAGAAGGGGGCTTCGCTTCTTTCTTTTTTGGTTATAGTTTTTTTTTGGGTTTTCACTATATTTTCTGCAATACTGAACTCTTTAGTGTTTGTTTTTGTTCTGTTTTTCCTTTATAGTTTTGGGCTCTTTTTGATCTTACTTCTTTTTTGGTGGAGTTTTCTATATTTTACGTGTAGTTTATTTTTTTTTATATACGGGCTTGTCCCGAAAATTTTCCAAAAAAAAAAAGATGAGATAGGGGTTTTATTTTGTTTTTTTTTTTCAAATGAGGGCAGTGCCCAATTTTATTAAATAAATATGAGTACAAGCGTTTGTCTAAACTTATTTTATAAAGATGAGAATGAATTTCTTTTAGAAAAATATTTTTTAATTATTATAAATAGACTAAACATATCTCAAAAAGATAAAAGACTAATAAGGCTTTGTTTGAAATAGTTACTTACTGATTCTTAAATCAGCTTTTTAATATAATAAAAAATTTGTACTAGAAACCTGATTTAAGAAACAGTACGAATCTAAGACTTTATTTGGGACAATTTTGTTACTGTTTTCTAAAATAGTTTTATTGTTGAAAATTTTTTAATTCAAAAACTTTTAATATTAAAAAATTTCTTTAGAAAACATTGAGGAACCTGCCCCAATTGAAGCCTAAAATGGTCACTGAGTCTTCACCAATGATCAAAATGGTCTCCATCTATTTAAATGTTCTACTTTAGTTAACAAAGTTTTTAAACAGAGACCTAAATAATCTCACAAAAAGATTATTTGGTTCCTATTTAACAAATTAAGAGATCAAATTAATATTTTTATATAGTTGAGGATTATTTTAATCCTTCAAAAAAATTTATGAAATCAATTCTATTTTTTCACCTATCTCAAATAGACCATAAATCAATACAATATATACTACTATGATAAAAGTGTCTTGAGTTTTCACTCATATCAAAATTTAACCTTTTATTTTAATTCTTCAAATATTATCATGTTAATTCATTATATCATGAATAATTAATAAAATTAAAAATATCTTATGCATTAATTAGTTAAATGACTATTAATTTACTCAAACTATTTATGTGAGTTCTTACCCTCCACAACTCTTCGTAGTCTTGCTTACCGGTTAGACAACAGTGGCGGAACCATATGTTCCTTAGGGGGGCCCTCAAAAATTTTTTTAATAGGAGAGAATATTTTTTGCCTCTCCTAAAAAATTACTTTTGCCCCCCTAAAAAACTCTTTTGTCCTAATTTGTCCTAAAATATCTATATATTTCTTCATATTTAATTCTAATATTTTCTTTCATGTTTTTCATAACAGATTAATTACATTTTTTTTTTTCTTGCTTATTTTTTTTCGTAATATATAGATATATAATTTTTTTATATTTATTTGTTGTATTTGCCCCTCAAAAGTGAAGATGGTTCGGCCCCGGTTCGACAAGCTCTTCTTCTTGACGACGTTGGGTTCTGAAATTACGCTTCTCCTCCATTTCGGCTGTTTATTGTCAAGTTCTTCTTCCGACTGCAACTTGCTCTTGTCTTCCCCTCTCTGCCATCTTCAGGTTCGCGTCATTTGAGTCCTTTCGATTATAACCATTCGTCATAAATTACTGCTCTTCGTCTATGTTTAGCTCGTTAATTACCCTTTGTTTTGGCATCCTATCGGTTACACTTTTCGTATATCCTAAACTTCTATCGACTTCTACGCCTTTAAATTGGCGTAAGATCTTTCAATCTCCTGTTAGATATATATGAAATATAGTGCGGGCCTTATGAATCTCATCCCGACCGGGTGGCTTACGCGGCCTGCACTTGCTTAGTGCTGGAAACGCTAAGCTTACCCCTTGTGATACGGTCGATGACATATGCGACAAGTGCGAAGATTAGGGCTCTGTCCTACCTGGGTTGGAACATTGGAGCTAATGATGTGGCTAATGGGATGGGCACGTCGGAGGACTTCGTGGCGCTTTCACTTTTGCTGGAAGTAGCGATTGCGTCGGTTCTGGAGTTCTTTGGGGCGCTCTCAATGGGAACTCATGTGACAAGTACTATGCATAAGAGGGTCCTTGTGGCGTCGGTGTTTCAGGGGAAGAATTCGTTGTTGTTTGCTGGGCTTCTTTCGTCAATTGGCTACTTCAGATACTTTGTTGCAGGTTTGTTATTTTTTCCACTTATGTTTATTCCTCAAATGCTTCTCTGTTTTGATTTTTTTTTAAAATATCTGTTGAGCTTCGATTGTTTAATTCTGTTTATTCTTTATCTCTATAAGAATTATATTTGTTTTGTTAAACTTGGAGCAGATGAAGAGTTGGAATTGTAATGGCAATGCCTTTACTGTGTTGCTAATTTTACACCAACGCCTTCCACCTGCTTAGAAAAATGTTTGCTTGTCCGCACTTCATAGCACTTATTAGTATTAAGGAATGCTAGGATTGTTAGATTTGGCATGCAGTCACTTGGGTTTCAAATTTTAGAGTTTTTCTCTTAGAACCGCATTACACGATAACTGAAAAGGGAAGTGTAAAAATTTAATAATCTGTATTGACCCACATAATACACAAAATAGTAAAACAGAAAATAGGGAATAGGGAGAAAGAGGGCTAGAAGCTCTGAATAGGGAGAAAGAGGGCTAGAAGCTCAACAAGTCTCCCACATTTCTTACCAACTTTTCGTACAATTTTATTGTAGCAAAATATTGTATACATATCATAATAAAGGTGTATTTCAGTTATGCTGTAATAGTGGCATTTCAACTTGAACGACGAGGATGCACTTGGTTGTTTGTCAAGGAGTGGCAGAGATTGTCCAAGTACAGAAAGTGGTGGACATAAAATAGATTTTGAAATATCTTGATGGCTAGTGGAAGTACTATTGACATCGCCTCGCAAGTTGATACTGGACTCATGAAGCGTCAACTTGTCTCTAAAGCATGGTGAACAGTTTGATAGATAGAGCCTTTGTAAATATATCAGCAATCTAATCTTGAATATGCGATGAATAATAATTTGATTTTTTTAATACAATCACAAACAAAGTAAGAATCAATTTCAATGTATTTTTTTCCCGACATGAAACAATGGATTGTTTGCAAGAGCTATTGCTGAAATATTATCATAGTATTTAGGATAGATATGACAAATATTACACTTTGTATTTATTTAGTTAGTTGTTATTTGTAATAGAGCCATTGCTTAATCAAGCAAGATAATGACCTTTTAAAACTTACTAAATAACTATATGAATATAAAAATATATGATAATATTTCAACAAAATAATAATATAAAAATTTTTCCACTTAAATTATAAATTTTATTAATGAGCTATATGTTTGGTATTTTAAATCATATTTTAATGATGTATTAAGTTGATGGCATATCTAAGATGTTAGCAACTTGGAGTATGGAGTGGACCATCAATGTAATGATCATTGTAGTTGCCAATGACATTTTCACTTTTGTTGTAGGCATTGACATATTCATCATTGTTGGAGTTTACATTGGCATAATACCTTTTGACACAAGAACAATTTATGAACTATCAATTTATATGTTTATTTGTCCACTAGAATATTAAATCTAGAACTTTGATTGTATATAAGAGTTCTCATATATGTTCTTGTGCTTGACATCATGCTTTTGTGTTTGATATATGATGGTTGTTGTTTATCTCATCTTTATAAATTTCTATTTCAAATCGAAAAGGGTTTTCTTTTCCTTGTTATGTGTTAATTAGTTGAAAAAGCAAGTTGAGGTTTACTTGTAATAGGAAATCCATAATTTTTTTGTTAAATAATATAAACTTATATAAGAAGATCCAAAAAATTTTGTAGCACATTACGAACAAAAATTCTTCTTTAAGAAGAAAACTAAGATTATTGATTTTTAAGTTTAGGGTTCGTAGCTGAATTGAACTATTATCACCGAATCTATGCTTCTGCAGCATAGGCTTCCTTACTGATATAATAAGTTGCAACTCTTCTCCTTATCCACCAATTGAGTCAATAGTTCTAACATGAGCTCGACCCAATTTGATAGTAAAAACGGGCTTCAAACGCAATGAGATGAAGGCCGTTTAATAGGGGTCTGCATAAGAGAACTCGAGCTCAAGTCCCTTCAAGTTAGAGTTTAGCTTGACTCATGCTATAGAATTTCAGTTTTGTGTAATAGACTTTTAGCTTGTGAATTCAAATTGCTATAATGGAGAAACTATAAAAAGCCAAAAAAAAATGGTACTCTTCCATGCTGTGAACACTAAGAGTTCCCTAACATTGTTTTCTTATCAAAATTGATTGTGATGAACTACTCATTATTTTCTTGTTAAAATTGATTGTGATGAATTACTCATTTCAACTTTTATAAAGAGCGTACATTTTGTATTTATTGGGTTGAGTAGTCTGTAGTCTTTAGTTTTCTCGTTATACCTAATGAATACAAACTTTTTGCCCTTGTCTTCTAGCTTTGTTCTTTGTTGATCCGGAATGTGTGCATAGGCCACACTACCAAATATTTTGAGATGCAAGAATGCTAGTTTTTGACCACTCCATGCCTCTTGTGGTTTTTTATCTTCTAACTACAAATGTGGAAATATGTTTTGTATGTAAATTAAGCATTGCAGGGCTTCCGCCCAAAATTCTTTAGGCATCTCATTACTCTTCAGCATTGACCGAACCATGTCAAGAATGATCCGATTCTTACTCTATGCCACACCATTTTGTTGGGGAGAGTATGGTGCAATTAGCGTCCTTCTTACTCTTTGCTTCTCGCAATAACTTGCAAAATCCGTTGAGTTGTATTCACCACCTTTATCAGATCGCAATGCTCTAATGAACTTGCTAGTTGTATTCTTTCCCATGACTTTGAACTTCTTAAATACATTGAGCGCCTTGAATTTTTCCTTCAAAAAATAAACGAATGTTTTTTGGAATGGTCGTTGATAAAAGGAATAAAGTATCTTTTACCGCTAAAAGACTCAAGGTGATTGGACCACAAATATCAGTGTGTACTAGTTTGAGAATACTTGATGCTCGATATTTCACCTTCTTCTAAAATGAATTCCTCGTATGTTTCCCAAGTATACACTCCTCACAAATCTTGTCAGTATAGTCTATCTCTGGCAGTCCATACACCTTCTCCTTCTCAACAATTTTTGTAGGCCTCCGTACTGCAAATGGATGAATCGTAAATGCCATAGAGACGCCTTGTCTTCTACATCAACATGCAAGCATCTTTCTCATACATAACTAAGGTTGATCTTGTACATTCGGTTCTTTGACATCTTAATTTGTTTAACAAGCCACCCCTTCTTGTCCATCAATTGTAGTACTCGGTTTTTCATAAACACTGAGTATCCTTTCTACATGAGTTGCCCCATACTCAAAATGTTGCTTTTCATATCAAGCACATAATACACATTCAATTAACCCTTTCGTGCCATCTTTTCATAAGTAAGAGATTGTACCTTGACCTATCACTTGGATATTTGATGCATGTCCAAATGACACATGCCCATCTTCAACACCAGCATTTCTTTGAACAAAACCGCACATATGATTGCTAGCACCAATGTTGAGATACCAAGTCGCCTCGCCGTTGGTGTTCTCTTTATCACAGGCTTACATGAGAATCCCATCTTTCGTCTCTGCTTCTATGACAAGAGTAGTGTTCTCTTCAATTTTATTCTCGCCATAGCAATCTTTTGTGTAGTTCCAAAATTTTCCACAATTGTAACACTTGTCGAAGTTGCAGTCCTTCACATAGTGACCATACTTGCCACATTCATAACATTTGACATTCGAGTGGTTGAGATGGACGCCTCTTCCACGAGCTTGTCCTTAGCCTAGCCAATTTTGTTGATTTGACTGCTCCACCTCATAATGTCTTCCATGACAACAACTTCTTTCACCACGATCATTTCCACAATCTCTTCTTCCTTGTCCTTCTCCACGAGAATTTTGAGAATATAGTACCTTATCATCTTTAATTTTCGTCTTGGATTGAAAAACTTCTTCGAGTGTTTCCTCCTTTCATTATTCATGTGCCTTGAGAGAGAGCCAACAAGCTCATCAACAATTAGTGTGTTGAGATCCTTTGACTCTTCGATCACTCATACAACATTCTCTAACTTGTTGGTTAATGACTACAATATCTTCTCCACTACTCAGACATCATTCAACATCTCACCATTTTGCTTGATATAATCAAATACACCTTTTGACTCTTTCATCTTCAACCCTTCCAATTCGCCTCTCAAAGTTTGGAGGAGCACTTGTTTGACACGATCAGCTCCTTTGAACACTTTTGAAGTTGTCGCTCCAGCAATCTTCTCAAAGCTCGACTCTTCTACTGCTTGATATAGCAGGTAGAGAGCGGCTTTATCCTTTGCTCTCATCTTCTTCAACGCCTTTAGTTGGTTCATCGTCATGCCCACCATATATGTTGTTTAGATGAAGCCGTTCTCAACGACTTCCCATACATCTTGTGCGCTCAATGCCCGCATCTGAATACTTTAGTTGTCATAGTCAAGGTTTAAAATTGCGTAATAGGGTATTGAGACGTTTTTCTTTCGTAAGGCGAGGCGTAAGCCTCAAGGCGTTTTGAGGTGTAAGCCTCAAAATTAAAAAAATTGCATAAATTGTAAATAAATAGTAAAAGTGATTTTTTATATAATACTAAAATAATATGTTAAATAATAACATATTAACTTTCTTTTGACTATGAAATAACAAATTGACATATATATGAAACATAAATTACACAAGACGTAAAGTGACAAGTGATAGATTGTGTGAAACAAAATTGAAATCCAAATATTACAAAAACAAAACAACATAAAATATTATAATCACGTAAAAGTATCCTATAGCATTAAGTTCAGCTCTAAATTCATTCATTCTTAGTTCCCAACTCATCAACATTCAATTCCTAAAAAAAGTTGATAGAATTGACAACAACTCAGAAATCATCTGCAATGTCATTAATGAGGGGTCTTTATTTGAGTCGTTGTCATAACAAATTGATTTCTCCCATGTCCCATCCTATGGAGTTCAATGCCTCCCAATTTGTTTCTTATTCATTTATTTCAATCATCTTTTTCTTTTATAAATATTTGTCTTCAACATAAAGATGTAAATAATACTCTCAAAATTTTTATAGGTGGTGGTGGTAGTGTGCAGCTTCAAGTGATTCTCAACAGTTGCTACGATCATGGTGACTACGACAAAGGAGGTGGGCAAGAGGTTGAGGCTATTGAGAGGAAGTTGTTACGGCTTGAGGGTGCATGAAGACGTGATTTGTTATGGGCTTTAGTTTAGGGTTTTTGTTAGTTTTAATAAAAAATATATATATTAATCGGTTGAGACGTACACCTCACTCTAGTAAGGCGAGACGCGCCTTAAGGCGGATCTCAACCAAGCTGAGGCATAAGCCTCATAAAAAAAGCTTGAGGTGTAAGCCTCGAGGCGTTTTTCATTGGAATTGCGCTAAGGCGAGCCTCATATTGCTCAATTTTAAACAATGGTCATAGTTTATCTTCGTGAGTCATGGTAGCGATATCTTCCAAATCGATAAACTTCCAAGATTTGTCATGGCTTTGATACCAATTTATACAAAATGAAATTGCATTCACACCAAAACAGTTAATAAAACTAAAACAAAGATATTTTAACTTCCTATTGACTGCTATCCACATGTCCACCACTAGCATGATTTTAGATAAGCACAATCTCAAGTTGGTTATCCGTATATTTGGATGGTTGAGTTTATCAACGGCCTCGCCCTTCCTTTACAGTCCAGAACAAGAAGATGGCACAATCTGAAGAATCTATTATCACTCTTTCACCCCTTGAAGCTGTATAATAGCCACTAAGAGAAAGGCCTACCTTCAACCATCTCTTCTTAATCATGAAGAGAGGAATCCCAAATTAAATCTTCCCTAATGATTCAACATTGTAAAGCCCTAAACAAGAACCTATCTCATCTATATTGACAACATCCGAACAACACACTTCCAATCTTCCTTTCCATAATACCTTCCATTCTTTCAGGTATCCGAATGCCGAAGAATTCAAAGCCAAGTCTAGGGGATTGAAACTTTCTTCTTCCCCTTCCTTTCCCAACTTCACACCCTAAATATCTGAGTATAACGGATTCTAAGCCGCTTCCATGATCATAGCTTTGAAACTCTTTGCCATGTGTAGAAGAGAGACCTTTGGAATGCACAACACCCACCCCAAAACAATGTCTTAAAAGAAAAGGCAAGAAAATCAACAATGGTGGAGACCAATATGTATGTTTGCGTAAGTATGGAGCTAATTATTGATATTGATAAATATTACATATTTTCTATTATAAAGGCCTAAAACACGCCCAAGACATGAACAAGCTTACAAAATAACCCATGTGGCTTGCTCGCATAGCATCCCATTGGACATGGGTTGCAAAATGGGCTCAAAGACCAAAGACCAATGACAACAAAGAAACGTCAAAATCTATTTATGAAGCAACTGATCCACTATGGAGATAGAGCCTAGGCCAAAGCCCGACCCATAAACCAACAACTCACAAGCATATAAAACCCAACACATTTACCTACCATTGATTCTTCAGCTCCTCCAAACAATGGAGGTATATTTTGAAATTATTTCAAATTTATCTAGCATAATCTCATCATGTGCATTGATTTGTATTCTTCGATTATGCCCCCACAGTGATCATTACACTATTTTATTGAGACATAGGCTTCGTGTGGGACAGCTTTTTTACTGCTTCCTAAGCAGTATTCTTGTACAAATTTTTAATTTTTTTACTAAGAAGCTGCTTTAAGAAACAGAAAAAAAGCCGTCCCAAACAAAGTCATAATCTCACTTTTCTATTATCAGTTGCATTTGTTCCTTGTATCAGTTGGGTGAAAACTTTGTTCATTCGGATCTTCTTGCCGATTGTACCTGCAAGGTTATTGTATCGATGAAATAGCAATTATTATGCTTTCATAATTATAAAGTCCATATTAAAACCGTGCCGTTATCATTCAATTCTTATTTCAACTTCAAACAAATAGAGAGACGCTACAAAGTTGGTAATAAGGAACATAAAAAAAACATGCCAATTAGCCTCCATTTATGTACTTAATGAAACATATAACTGTTCCAAAGAAAACTAAATTTAAATCTCTTCTGGCAACTGATGATACCAGTGGGCTATATGCCTTCATGAGTAATAAAGTTAGTGCTTATATTACCCCTTTTGTAACCATCTACTTTTTGTACATTACAGGTGGCTTGAATTTGCATACCTAAATTCCCAATTATTTATTTTTCTCATTTTTTAACCTTTTTAGTATTAACGTAGCAGTAGAAAGAGTATATCATCCTATGTTGTGCATGGACTTCAAACAAATTTTCTTTAACCATGTAAAGACCTCAACATTATTGGTTGATGGAGGATAAAATCAAAATTCATTTACCAATTAGTGACGAAATGTAATGGTTCTTATATATGATTTCTGAATGAAATCCAACTCATAAGTAATTCATCGAGATTGCACACCTTTTGTTCCTAGTTTTGCTATAAAAAAGAATACATAAATAGAAAGAACGTATAACCGGTGAAGCCCATCCTATTCTTGAAACATACAACTCGCACGCACTCCCTTTCCAAAAATCAATTCACCAAGCACTATTCTTAGATTTATTGGATCCTCATCACTCTCAATTTCTAGCATCTGTATCGACCCATGTACTTATTTAGTGTTCACAGTTATAGTTCCATTTTCACTTTTTATGCTATTAACTGGCCTTTTGTCATGTTAGAATGTAACTAGTAAGGTACCTATCTGGCCAGGATCACTGATAATGTTACATTTCAAAATATGCTAAAAACTGGATGTACTTTAGCCACACTACAGTTTCATTTGGGACGGCTTTTTTAATGCTTTTAAAGCAGCTATTTAGTACAAAATTTTTAATTTTTATATTAAAAAATATTTTTAAGAAAAAATAAAAAAACCGTCCCAAACAAAACCTAATCCTCAATGCTTTTTAGCAGAAGCACATCCAAAAATGACTACTTCATATTTTAGTTTCCATGTGACTTCATCAATAAGAAACATTTTAAAAAACTTAATTATCATAGGGTTCATATAGTATTACTAATTCAAGAAAATATTTTGTTTTAATGAAAGTATGCAATGAGAAAACCTAATGATTTCAACTGTTACAGCATCATCATCATGCAAAAGTCTCATGATCAGATCTAACCAATATAAACAATCACTGGCATCCTTGTATGATTTCACTGTTATCAAACCTTTACCACTCAATATTACTTACTAAACTATAATAGTTGCAGCAAGTTTCTACACAATGATGTAAGAGAAACATTAAAATCTTCCAATCTCAAAATAAGGGGCTGTTTGGTATCGGATTTGGCAAAGGATTTAAGCAAGATTTACCCAAAATCCAGCAAAACAGTATTTTGCGCGACTGTAAATCGGGCGATTGCGTAAATCCTGGATTTACAGATTTACGTCGCAAATCCGCGTAAATCCGGGTAAATCCTAATTCCATTCTTTCCCGGATTTTACTGGATTTATACCTGTGGTGCCTGTGTTGTGAAGTTGTTGCGAGAGTCTTTATGTAGATGGAAGACGCATTGCTTCGACCTCATCCGTAGCCTTAGTTGCTCCGAATGTTGCTCAGCCAAGCGTGTTCCTCCCCTGGTACGCAACTTCCGTAGCATTCCTGCCGGCTTCCTCTCTTCTTTGCGTAGGTATCACCCTGACTCCGGCATTTCATTCGTATATTTCGTTTGTTGTATTCGAAACAACCCAATCAACAACACCGCGGCTTTGCGCAAAATGCCATGACAAATGCTACGACTATAACTAGGCCAAGCGGGAAGAGATGAGTAACTGTTTTAAATCCTATAATATGTTGTCAAACAGTTTCTCAGAATTTAACATTTATCATACCAAACAGTTTTCAAGATTTAGCAGCCTCAGGATTTAATAAATCCTGCTAAATTAAATCCAATCCGATACCAAACAGCCCCTAAAAGAGAAGTTATAAAGCTGATAAAATTGCTAAAAATAATGCTGGGATAGAAGATTTTGTGGCATCAAAATATGTAGAGTTTGTTTAGGTCCTTCAAGGTATAGCATCACGATCAATTGCTGGCAGCTCAAATCAGTTAAGATTATTATAACATTATGGATAAACAATCGGAATTAGACGGATTATCTCTTGTACTTGTAATGCAACTATCTAGAATCCTCCATTCCTTCTTGATAACCAAGAAGGTAAAGGTTTCCTCCTTTCTGCATTGGGGATGGATTGCTTATAGGACAATAGCATCATTCAACTGTAGCTTTCTTCCTGATTTACCTCCCGACGCCAATTGCTTTCAGAGTTTTACCCTAAATCCGAACTGCAGCGCTGTAGGAACCCTTAAGAGCTAAGGCCATCTCCTACCGAATTCCAAACGCATGAATGACGTTGCTCACGAGCTCTAACGGAAAGGCAGAACTTTCAATATTTGGTTGTGGGTAAATAGTATGACGCCACCTTCGCTATAAAATCTACGGGATCTGCTGAAGAAACATGCGAAAAGGAGAAAAACATTTATCTGGGCGCAAAATGGAGTTCGATTGGAGATTAATCACATCATTTTTTAGTTTCATTACATTTTGGAGTGAAAAATGAGATTTTCGGTTGGAGATGCCCTAACCATTGCCACAGTCGAGCAAGCACCCCTCTGCTGAGCACTAAAATAATTGATAATGCTATTGAGAAGTATTCTGTTATGACATGATCATTAAATATTATTTGTCAAATGAAATAATTAAATTGAAAAATAAATTATTTACATATTTTAATAAAAAAGAGTAAATTATAATTATCAAACTTTAATTCGACTCAATAACTAACTATAATCATAAGTTTTTTTTTTTTTTTTGGGAAATTTATAATCATAAGTTTCATGTTGAGTTGAAAAAAAACTAATTATTTTTTGCCATTTAAATAAAAATAAAGTCAATATTTAATCAACATTATAAAATATTCAAGATTAAAGAGTGTGCAAAATGTATGCTGAACTGCTTGTTTGATTGGGAGGAGCAATTATTACGTCAGGTCATCTGACGTGTCCAGAAACCAATAATCACGCGCCACGTCACCTGAAACTTGGTATTGAGCACTCGGTATTGCTCGGTATACGTCCGGATTTTCGATTTTTTGTCTGGACGTAATAATTACTCGATTGGGAAAGTTCTGTCTCTCCTTCTCTATAATTTACGTTCGAAAGTACTAACTGCTTTATGGCTCACCTTAAAAAAATTACAAAATATATGAACAAATGAAGTATTAAATATATTTGAATTATGTTAACTTAATATGTTGTGCTAAAAGTTCATGAAATACTAGTATGTGCAATGTCATTTAACTCTAAATCAATTTTTTTATTGTGAGCATATAATTTAAAAATATTGATACAAAATATTTTATTGAAAAAATAATTATTATTTATTTGATTTTTAGAATTTTTTTAATAGAAAGCTATTTTTTTAAATTGGAATAGCTTAGTGGCTCTTTCTCCTTTTGTTTTTTTTTTAGTGGTAAACCTCAAACAGACCTCCGATCTTCTACAGTTACCATCTAAAGCTGATTATAGCCATCTAATCAGTTTTAGATAGCCAGGATTTTCTTTCGAGTGGAGAATCATAGTCATCCAAAATAGATTAGATGGCAGAGATCACTAATTATACTTTATATAGTTAACAACTATAGAGGATTTGATTTGTGTTGCACAAAATATCTGATTTATGTTGGTGGGTAGCTCTTATGTTGGCTGTTCTGCACTCTGTAGCGATGTGCATTTTATTGCAAGTAAGTATTTTTGGTAGAATCCTCATTATTATTATTATTTTAATTAATTTATGATTTTTTTTTTTTTTGGAAAATTGAGGCCTTAGCCCATTCTATTGATAACAAGATTGCTTACATGTGTAAAAAGAGCCTTGTAACAAAATAAAACCTAACAAAATTTTGAAGATCAGTTATAAAAAGAGTCTAAAAACTAGACAAAGGAACAATATAAAGAGAGCATAGATTGTTCAGACAGACATCTGTCTGGCTGAGACTCAGAAATGTAGCGATTTTCATAATACGAGGAAAGCTTCTTCTTTGGTTGCCCGAAGACCATCTAAAAAGAAGAAGATGACAGGTGTGTCATCATTGTCCACAGCCCAGAACCCTACCTTATCAAAAGTTAGAAAGCCTCTGAAGTAGCCGAACATCAGCAGATCACGTCCAAATATAGGTCGGGCATCATAAAGATGCCACCAACAAACCTAGCACAGAGATTCACAATCAGCATAATAGATGATAGTAGTTGTAATAAAAGACAACAAAAAGGCATCTACAAAGATAACATTTCTCCCCTCCATGCATACGAAAGTTGATAGATTTAAGCAAATATGCATGTAAAACCACATCAGTTGTATTCCATATTCAAAACCTCATTCGACTCATTGCCATGTTTCCAACCTGATAGCTTGATAATAATAGCTTTAGAGATTTTCTTAGCAAGTGAGTTAACACATAAAGCAGTTGACTTAAACCTTCTATTATTACGCTCCAACCAAAGGAAATAAATAGAAGCGTTCAAGATGATAAGGAGACCATGTTTAATTCTTTTACTTTTAGACATAGCCAGATTTTCAATATGATGAAGAGCTAAATAGATGGTAGGCCCGAAAAAATGCGTCTGAAAG